ATTATTTCCACCTGATGGTCTTTTGGAATTGGTACTGGAACATCCGACTGGAATTTCAGCACTTCTGGTCCACCAAATTCAAAAACTCTAATAGCTCTCATCAACTTCTGTCTAGTCGCCATGGTGATCTAGACATGCAGAAAAAAAAAATTAATGTATTGTCCTATTGTATCTAGGCTATCACTATGTTTTTTTTTCCCCTGGAGGGCCAGATCAAACAATTTTTCAAACAACAATTTAAATCCCAAGCTTACCACTGGTCTCATTTCATGTTTAAAAACCTTTCATCTTACAAATGCTCCAGCTACAAAGCAAAATACTTCATATTACCTCCTGTAGAGATTCAGTGCCTGCAACAAGGGAATCAAACATGCAAACAAAAACATCTGGATAGACACAGCATAATGCAATATCTTAGGTGTCCTTTTGTGTAAAGCTTGGGATGCAACATCTTGGAAATTTTTGGAGCTAATATAAGTTTTATTAACATTAGATAAATAGACCTTCCTTTGTTAGAGGATGAAATATTTCAAATACATAAAGAATATAATAAGCACATTTACCTGCCACCCAGCTTTAACAAATATTAATATTCTAAAAACATAAAACATTGTAGATATAACTGAAACCTCCTGGACTCATTCTGAAACCCAACTCTGTCCTCACCTTTTACGAGGTGCCTGTTACCGTAAACTCAAACATCATTCCCAGGTATGATGCTATACCACTGGTGTATGTAGTAGCAAACAATAGATATGCTATGGTTTTGCATGTTTTCAAACTTTATTTAGATTGGATCATACTGTAGTTACTTCTGCGACTTGCTTTTTCCTTTCCGCATTAAGGTTTCAAGATTTATCAATGTTCAAACACTTCGTAAAGTTCATTCATTTTAACAAAGGAGGAAAAACATTAAAAACAAAAGCACTGTTTGTGTGCAATCTTTTATAAATTACAAGAGTAATTTACAGTTAATCTTTCTGTCCTACCACTGTTAATGTTAAAATGAAAAGAAAACTCAGAGTTAAAATGAACCCTAAGAAAATGTGAAGAACAATTGTATATCAAATTAGATAACTGGAAATCTTCTAAACCTACAGAGATGTAATGAATGGGTTTTGACTGTATCTCCATAATTTTATTTGAGCATTATTACAATTTCTTGAAATTAACCACATTAAATATTGCTAGACTCTGCCACTACCTAGAACATCTTTGTAGCTTCTAAAATAATCATATTCATCAACCATGAATAGCTGAAACATAAGAAAGAGTTGAAGAAACTAGAACTTGAGATGAAAGAATTCAGACTTTTACTATATTGAAGCTCAGCCCAGGGCTACTCAGAACAGTCCATGCTAACTACAGAATGTCGTTCTGTTACCAGCCAGGAGAGTGTCCCCCACTCCCCACCAAAGGCTTTTAAGTTTTCTTTTCTATAGAAACGTTAAGTATAGAAATGTTAAGTCTTTCTAGTTTCTTAGTCCCTGGTTTTGATTACTCTTTTCATCAGTCTGTGAATACTAGGCTAAAGATTGCTCCTAGCCTGAATCCTAGAATTCATCTGTTCCCCTGCTTCTTGATTGCTTTGTAAATCAGTTTCTGAATCCTAAACAATAGAAGTCTCCTACCCTTGCTTCAGATAACTACTTGAAAGCCTGTGACTTCCTAATATCCCTCAGGCCAGTAAGCTAAACGCCAAACCTATTCTGGGTCCAGACAATTGACGCCAGCCGCGTGAGTTAAGAGGCTGAATGGCCATTGGCTTCAAGAGAGCTCTAACAGATTTATTAATTAAAATCTATTCTTCCTCATTCAGGGACCTCGGAGATACAGAGAATACCCCTACCATATTGCCAGACACAACCAAAAAAGCCAACATGGTCTTCCAGGTGGAGCTCGAGACCCCTTCCTCTCATCTAAGATCAGGCAGGGTGAGAGTTCCATGAATCCCCCAATAGGCAGGGACAGCTCTACGGCGCTGCCCAGCAGGAAGCAAAAACAGAAGAGACCTCCTCTCCCTCAGCTTCCTATAGAGATTTTATGGGGATCACGTCTCTCAAGGGGAAACTAGGCGGGCAGTTAGAGGCAGGCATTGGGTCTCTGCATTTCTGCACATTCCACAGAGTGCTACCGGCAGGGGGACATCCCCTCTCCATCCAAAACTCCCCCTTTGTATTGTAATTACCTACCCCTGAGGGAAAACAAATGGGCACAAAATACCCAACTCGATCAGACTAGTCACTCGCACTCGCACCTGCGCAGTACCTCTTGTCAATCAGAGATGCCAATCAAGTGGTCCCACATCCTTGGGGGAACAGCCCATTCTAGAAAGGATAAAAACTCCAAGTCCTGGGAAGTCCACCCTTTTCCTTTCTTTCCCTTTTTGGGCGCCCTACTCTTTTGACGGCTTCTTCCTCCTTTTCAAGCCTTTTGAGCTTCTCCTTTGCATGTGGCCTACTCCAAACTCTTTGGAATATAATTTCTCTTCTAATAATGGGCCTTTGAGCCATTCTCTACTGTTCGGGCCTACTTCACTTCTTTGAAATGTACTATCTCTTCGAATAAACCACTTTTTCAATACTTTACTCTGGCATCTCGTTCAATTCTTTGCTCAACTTGCCAAGGACCTGGACTTTGCGCCGAAGAAGGCCCACTTTCGGACAACAATTCCATATAGGGTGGGGAAGAGGGGGTGGGGTGGGGATCAAAAGCATTGTGATGGTGTTATTAATGGAAAGTTCTTGATNCATAGGCAGGTGTAAGAGAAAGAAAGGAACCATCTCCATGTTGAGGGACTCAAGAATACCTTCACTGAGAAGCTAATATTTGAGGTAGGTTTTGAAAGATAGGAGACTGAATACTAGAATTGGGGAGAGTCGTTATGGGTGAAGGTAACATAGTAAGTAAAGAAATAGTGGCAGAAATAAATGCCAGCATTCATTCCCAATGAGAAAGTAGTCTAATGTATGGAATGTAATAGTTTAGGGCAATAAAAGGAAAAGAAATTAAAACTGGAGTGTCAAACCCCTTGAACCCATGTTTATAAGTTTCAGTTTAATTCTGCCAAGCAGAAGAATCAGTATGAACAAAGACACAGAGATAAAACAGCCTGGGCTGTGTAGGGAAGAGTGAACAGTTATTACCAAAGAACAAACTACAGGTAGAGAAGGAATGGGAGATAAGAACGGTAAGATAGGTGGGAGAGAGATCACAAAGGCGTCTTCTATCATAACACAAGCATTTTCAACAATGCCCTGAAACCTACAAGAAACGAATGCTAGAATTCATTGTTAAACAATCAGAATTACATTTCAGAAAGAAACCCTTATAGAGCAAGGATAGATTCCAGGAGGAGGAGGGAGTGGGGTAAGGTGTCTATTATAGAAATCCGGGTATGGGCCTCGGTAAGATAACTTGAACTAGACTACAGGCAGTAGGAATGGAAAGAGGAGACAGAAAACAGTTCTAGTAAAGGAAAGCTCAGTGAGAAAGAGTGAAGAGATAAGCCTCAAACCCCAGGAGTCCCCAAGACAGTCACACGAGAGAGGAGCAGGTCTGGCGGAGAAAAGACAAGCTCAGTTTCAGTTTGGAGGTTGACCCGAGCTCTCCAACTCAACTTTCTGTGCTGATGGAAGTATTCTGCATCTGCACTGTCAAACAGGATCGCCACTAGATGCGTAGGGCTAGTAAGCATTTTTATTATTATTATCATTAACTTCAGGTGTACAGAGCAACATAATAGTTAGACATTTACAAAGTGATACCCTCCCCTCCCCCAAGCTTGGGGCTAGTATGCGTTTGAAATGTTGCCAGTGTGACTGAGGAACTGAATTTTTTTAATTTTAAGTTGACTTTTAATTTTAAATAGCTGCTAGACATTTAAATGTGGCTAGTAGCTAACGTACTGAACAACGCAGGCCCACAGCTTAGTAGAAAATTCTAAGCTAAAGATAACCACATGACAATGGAAAATGTGGGATCGTACATGAGATCGTCACGAAGAAGATATAGAATACAAAAAGTAGAGGTGCGAGCAGGGACTGAGCACTGGGCAACACCGAAATCTGAGGAGCATCCAGAGAAAAAGAGGCTTGTGGAAAGATGCCCAGAAAGGAAAGGGAGGGAGAAGAGGAGAAAATGATGTCACAGAGGCTGTAGAAAAAGAGTTTTTTTAAGAAAAAGTATGTGGCCAAGAGTGTCAAATGTCACGGGGAAGTCAAAAGAGATAATGACTTAAAAGGGCCCATTAACTCCAGCAATACAGATGCCATTAGCGACATTAGCAAGAATCGTTTCAGTGGAGAGATAGGGGCAGAAGCCAGGTTGCCACAGGCTGAGGAGTGGAAAGCTGTAAGCATTTGCCTGTCTTCCTGTGCAGAGGCCACGTTCATCTTCTCTGTCTCAGTCCAATTTTGGAAAATGGGCGACCAAAGTTGAGCAGGTCAAGAAATTATAAGGAAAGATGCTAGGATGTGAATATACTATCATATAAATAACAAAAGTCCTGCACATAACATTTTCATTGACTCCATCACCTTGTTCTGAGTTAGAGCTCTCAAAAAATGTATAGCGACCTTGCATTTGTTTTAACCTTTCCCTTATTATCCAAAAGAATTAGTATTCCCTTTCCTCTGTGAAGTTAAATTTATCGAAAGAGTTAAAAATTATGTTGGTTTGTTTGTTATCAAAAGTTAGGAAATAGGATGATTTTCTTGCTTATTTTCTTTCCTTACGTATTTCTGTTAAATCAAAAGGTTCAGTTTAATTCCGTAGGGATGTGAAAACACAGAAATGACCCAGCACTTATTCCCAACAAGGCAAACAAGCAAGGCCTCTGGATAAAAGATAATTTCTTTTGTTACTAGAGGAGTCCCCCAAGTGGCAGAAATTGTGTAATGGGGCCTTTTAAAGACAAGTACAGACGCATTTTAAAAATATGTTTAAATATTTTGAGAGAAAACATTACCCTAAAATAGAAATAATTAAAAATGTAATACCTTGAAAGAAGATACATTATCTCCAACAGCTTCTACTACCCCAGCCACGTCACAACCAGGAGTATAGGGTAAGAGTGGTTTTCTACTGTAAGTACCAGAGCGAATGTACGTGTCCACTGGGTTTACACCGCACGCATGGACTTTGATTAGAACCTGCAATGACAATGTATTAGTTCACACGGAGCATTTAGGGATGCAGTCATCATTAGGCTAGGGCTCTAATGATGGGAGCTATAAAAATGGAGGGGAAAACCTTGCCTTCAATGAGCTCACCTTCCAGTTTCGCACACCAACATATAAAGAAAAATGTAAGACACAATGGCTTACGTGCTATATTAAAACCATTCTGAGAAAACAGCAGTGGGAATATTGGAGGAGATGTGTGTCAGAAACCTCTACTTGCTCATCCAGTCCATTTCCTCCTCCTGGATGCAGAGGAAGAATATTCATTGCTGGCTCCTAATTTACAGCTCTGAGTAGCCAAATGATTGGGTTCCAGCCAATGGAATGTGAACGAAAGTGATGAGGGCGACTTTCAGGCCTGACCCAGAAAGACCTTTCTGGGCAATCCACACTGTGCTTCTAGCCTTTCACATGACCTTAGAAGACAGATGTCGGAAGTGGCAGAGGCACATGATGGAAGAAGCCTCGGTCCCTAAATCATTCACTGTTGGAGGACAGCCACCCTCCAACATTTTAGAACTGTGGAACTTAGTGATGGATAAATAATTTTCTATTGTTGAACCATTGAGATTTTGAGGTTACATCTACTAGAGAAGCTGATTTTACCTTAATTAATACAGAATAATTACTTTTGCCATAAGAGTAAGGGAAGGCCTTTCAAAGGAAGTGGTATCTGCACTAGGCATTCAAGGATGAGTGGAAATTCTTTCAGAATGGGAGAAAAAGGGTATTTCAGGTTAAAGGAATATTATATGCAAAGACAGAAGGAATGAAAGTGCCTCTTGGGGAAACCAGGTAACACTTGATGTTACAGCAGTCTACTGAGAAGGAGTGATAAGAAATACATCTATGGGGTGACTGGTTAGCTCAGTTGGTTAGGGCGTGGTGCTGATAACACCAAGGTTGCTGGTTCGATCCCCGCATGGGCCACTGTGAGCTGTGCCCTCCTTAAAAGAGTCAACTATGCCATTGTAGCATGAAAGCAATGTGTAACCAATGACCATGGCTGTTCCCCAATAATAAAAAAATAATAATAAAAGAAAAANAATTCAATTAAGTTTTGTCTTTTTTCATTATTCTTACGAAAACTCTACCCCCAGTCCAGCTAACACTTATCCAAAGAGGGAACTCATTCTGAAATATTCTCCAAGCTCCACAGGATCAAACGATGGTTCTTCAGAGCCACGGATAAAAGAAAACCTCAAGTCATTTATTCATTCAACAAATGTTTATTGAGAGTCTATTATGTGCCCGGCACTATGCTGGGTGCCTAGATCACATGGTGGTGCTACCTTCTGAGAGGCTGAGGTTCTTGCAATTACATTATGTGAAACGGCTGACGCTAGAGAACTAGAGTTTCTCCCTCATTCCCACAGGGAGAATCTCAAAACAGGTTTATTACAGCCAGGTCTTTATTCTGTGGTATGGACTAATGCCCAAGTAAACAGAGCAGGTAGACTAGTTAAGGAAACATTTTTACTTTCCCATGTCTTCAAACATCAGGTTGTACCTGCCTTTAAATACTCGTTTCCAAAATACAGCTGAGTCAGCAATGGTGAGAGCATAGCAAGGACAATAAATCCTGTCGCAAAGGCTCCAGTGTCAACCCTAAAATATCCAGATCCTCTGGTGAAATGACAAGCTTTTTACTTCTGGTTCATACCACTACGTTTCTATAATACTGAAACCAAGGAACACACAGCAGGACAGATCGGGGATCCTTTATTATTCCAGATGGACAAGTGCTAATGTCACAAGCCAGATCAGACCCTCAGAGAGGATCTCTTACTTCCTTGAGTAGGGGGTGGCTGCACTGGACAGACATTATGTTCAGTCTGGAAGTGTGAACTCAGTAACTCAGAGTCCTGCTCAAGGCTGTGTGCCGTCAGCTGACAAATGGCAGTTAAGAGCCATAAATGAAGCTTTCTGCAACACTCTTGCATGGAGATAAGGGGATTGACGGCCGTGAGTTAAACTGAGGGCTTAAAATGATAAACTGAGATCACTATTACTAAAACACTTTGACATTTTAAAAAGTAAAATACAAATGTAAGAGAATAGGATCACTACTGTTAGACTATGGGATATGAAATACTTCCCAATGAATTTTTGTTGTAATCTTATAAGCAACCCCTCAAACACTATGAGCGCACCCACTGTAGACCCCTAAGCTGCTGGGTCTACAGTGGGTGCAGGAAAAGCAGGCTAGCCCTCTCCACTACTATAATCCTGCTATCCTCCTGGGGAGTCTCTGGGATGGTTCATTTTATGTGGCAACTTGGCTGGGCCATGGTGCCAGATTTTGGTCAAACATTATTCTGGATACTTCTGTGAAGGTGTTTTTTTGCATAAGAGTAACATTTAAATCAGGAGACTTTGAGTATAACAGATTGCCTTCTATAATATGGGTGGGCCTCATCCAATCAGTTGAAGGCCTTAACANTGCTTCAGATAACTACTTGAAAGCCTGTGACTTCCTAATATCCCTCAGGCCAGTAAGCTAAACGCCAAACCTATTCTGGGTCCAGACAATTGACGCCAGCCGCGTGAGTTAAGAGGCTGAATGGCCATTGGCTTCAAGAGAGCTCTAACAGATTTATTAATTAAAATCTATTCTTCCTCATTCAGGGACCTCGGAGATACAGAGAATACCCCTACCATATTGCCAGACACAACCAAAAAAGCCAACATGGTCTTCCAGGCGGAGCTCGAGACCCCTTCCTCTCATCTAAGATCAGGCAGGGTGAGAGTTCCATGAATCCCCCAATAGGCAGGGACAGCTCTACGGCGCTGCCCAGCAGGAAGCAAAAACAGAAGAGACCTCCTCTCCCTCAGCTTCCTATAGAGATTTTATGGGGATCACGTCTCTCAAGGGGAAACTAGGCGGGCAGTTAGAGGCAGGCATTGGGTCTCTGCATTTCTGCACATTCCACAGAGTGCTACCGGCAGGGGGACATCCCCTCTCCATCCAAAACTCCCCCTTTGTATTGTAATTACCTACCCCTGAGGGAAAACAAATGGGCACAAAATACCCAACTCGATCAGACTAGTCACTCGCACTCGCACCTGCGCAGTACCTCTTGTCAATCAGAGATGCCAATCAAGTGGTCCCACATCCTTGGGGGAACAGCCCATTCTAGAAAGGATAAAAACTCCAAGTCCTGGGAAGTCCACCCTTTTCCTTTCTTTCCCTTTTTGGGCGCCCTACTCTTTTGACGGCTTCTTCCTTCTTTTCAAGCCTTTTGAGCTTCTCCTTTGCACGTGGCCTACTCCAAACTCTTTGGAATGTAATTTCTCTTCTAATAATGGGCCTTTGAGCCATTCTCTACTGTTCGGGCCTACTTCACTTCTTTGAAATGTACTATCTCTTCGAATAAACCACTTTTTCAATACTTTACTCTGGCATCTCGTTCAATTCTTTGCTCAACTTGCCAAGGACCTGGACTTTGCGCCGAAGAAGGCCCACTTTCGGACAACAATTCCATATAGGGTGGGGAAGAGGGGGTGGGGTGGGGATCAAAAGCATTGTGATGGTGTTATTAATGGAAAGTTCTTGATCTAATTAGTCAAAAGTTGTATCACTTAAAAACCCTTTACTTAAAAATGATTTGCAAGCCGGCCGAATGGCTTAGTTGGTTAAGAGCTCGCTCAAGAATGCTAGCTCTGAGCAACAGCAGTTCGATGCCCGGCCCGAGCTGAGCTGCCGCTGAGCTGCCAACAGGTGGCAGGATAGCTCAGCTAAATAAATAAATAAATAAAATAAAAATGATTTAATGTCGTACTTAGCACAGAGGAGACAGTAAAATTTCCATTGCTAAAAGGTTGTTTAGCAAGGATATATCCTGAAGCGCAGCCCTCAAATAAAAGGGGGCAGAAGCAGGCAAAAGGCATAAACCCAGCAGCACTGCAGGGCAGCTAAGCAGCCCCCGAGGGTGAGAACACCTGCACCAGAGGACAGGAAAGAGAACTCACTCCACACCTACCCAGCAGTTTCATGATTGTATTGCTATTTGCATCTTCACTCAAGCTGGGTATTTCTTAGACAAGAAAGTGAAAAATAAAGAAAATAAAACAGAAAAAGAAAAGGTTGCCCAGATCAGAGTTTTCCATTCTGCAAATAAGAACACAACTGTAGGGTTTTTTTCTTCCCACTTTTTGTCTTCAGCATGGTGTTACGGAAAGAGTGTGGGCTTTGGAATCTGACAGCTGTCAGTGCGCATCCCAGCTCTGTCATTTACTAGCTACATTGCCTTGGGCACAGCAGTCAACTTTGTTGAGCCTCTTCATCTGAAAACTGGGCTCCCACTCAGGGTGACTGTGCTATTATAGATACACGGCATCATCAAGCACACAGCCTGGCCAACGTTTACTCCTATGTACGGTAGACACCGTTATTCCTTTCCCATCTGTTTTCTCTTTTCCAGTTTCTTATTCATTAAAATAGTCTCAATTCTGTAATTCTACAATCACTATTGTAGACTTTATTATAACAATATTTACAGGATTCTGGTTGTAAAAACAAGTCATTAGCCTCAAAAATTTCACAGTCTAAAGAATCATTTAAACGAAAACATTAATACCAGACAGTAGTTGTTAATCATCCAACATATATTTTTTGAACATTAACTGCGAGGCACTGTGCTCAACTCAGAGAACACAAGGGGCAGGAAGAAAACGCCCAGCCACTCCCCAGCGCCTGCTCATCCCGCGCGCACTCCCTCACACGTGTACACGCCAACCATGTACGATCTGTAGCTCTTTTCCCACTTTCAACAGCTACCCACTTCCTACCTATTCATTTCTTTCAAGCACTCGCATCTATCTTTTCACCAACAGACATCACTATTATCCTCAAAAAACTGTAGCAATAATAAAAGCAAAATTACCCTGAAATAGGATCTGTCAAAAATATCTAGCACATACATATTTTTCCCCTACATTTTGACATTTGCTAAGTTGGGAGAAAAGAACAAAGGAAGCAGGGGACTCATCCTTAATAGTGGATTTAGAAGACACCCTTCCTGGTCCAGCACTTATCCTATGGAGCGTGTAAGGCAGCGGTTCTCAACCTGTGGGTCGCAACCCCTTTGGGGGTCGAACGACCCTTTCACAGGGGTCACCTAAGACCATCGGAAAACAAAAAGATATTTACATTATGATTCATTACTAGCAAAATTACAGTTATAGAGTAGCAACGAAAATAATTTTATGGCTGGGGGTCACCACAACATGAGGAACTGTATTAAGGGGTCGCGGCATTAGGAAGGTGGAGAACCGCTGGTGTAAGGAGACAAGCGTGACCTTGACAGCTGTGTGTCCTGCTTGGCTTCTGGCAATCTTAGTTCCCACTGAGCCTTGCCTCTGTGCCTGATCAGGCTCCAGTCTGCACTCCTTGCCTTTGAACCGCCTCAACTACCCACAGGACCACCACCTTCTGCTTCATAATACAGGTGCTATGTCAACAGGTCTAATAAAAAGAATAAAAGAGCACAACAAACACACAAACAGTAATTGGAATTTTCAAGCCCTTGCAATGCCTGATTTCTTCTAAAAAGCACATCTTTCATGTCTATTGATGTAATTATTTTCACAGTAAGTAGAGAAGCAAGTTATTAAAACCACCCTTTAAATTGTACGCAGAAATAGAAATAAAATCACCGACCATTTTATAGATGAGAAAACATTCCAAGAGGTTGAGACTCACCAAGGTCACACAGACGCACAGCTAGAACCCAAGTGCTAGACCCTAAATGTTGTTGGGTGATTTTATTCCCTTACTACACAATCCTTTTCATCTTACCTTTCAAATGTGGGCATAGAGGACCCTTCATCTCTTAGAAATATACTTTATAATGCCAGTGAGACAGACTGAGCTAGAAATCTGAAATTCAACTAATCTACAGGTAGGATTATGGATTTTATGATTAAGGCATCTGTCTATGGTTTGAAATTTCTAAAATGCCCATAAGTTAGGGCATCCACTAGAGATGCTCAGGATATGATTCTATTAGGAAAACCATCCTTTAATTGTATGCAGAAGTGGAAATAAAATCACCATCCATTTTATGGATAAGAAAACATTCCCAGAGGTGACTTCCTTATCTGTAAAATGGGGCCAGTACTGCCTAGCCTAGGACCCTTGTGAAGACCTACTGCAACCGCAAACGGTGATTCACAGCACTTCCAGCGTGCAGTGCGCTGTATTATTCAGATTAAATCACTTGCAGTCCGCAAACCTGTCACATTTCTTGTGTTTTTTAATTGAACTGTACTCCAAATAGGTTTTTCTATTTCTCAAATATAAACTTTTAAAAATTTAACCACGAGTACCTTGGTTTAATTTTTGGTTTTACTTTTTAACCTTTGAAAGGTTGCCAACCATCCTTGGCAAATCCATGAAATCCAGAATTTAAAATTCTTCCTCAGTGATCTCCACACTACACATTAATCCATTAGGTTTAAATAAAAATTAAAGGGATAGGGAAAACGTTAGAAGTATATTTTAATATAAGATGAATAGAGCAATTCACAAAGCCAGAGGAAAGGCACATTATGAGAGAAAAGCAGGAGTAAAATTAAATAAGAATTTTAGGCAAGAAATTAAAAAAATAAAAAGTTGGAAAGAGAATCAATCATAAAATATGCTACTGATCAAGAATGATTCATATAACATACTATTATTTTTAACCTAGAAGAAAGTTTAAAAATTAAAAGTGGCCAAGGGTGTTTCTTCTTGGCTGTGACCGCATCAGATTACTTCGCTGGTCTGAACTTAGTGCCCACTTCTCATAAGCGGGTTGAGTAGTTGTTTAACAGATCATTCCAACCCCCCAGGTTCTCTGATGCAAAGACTGGATGGGGCTGGGCAGGCTGCTTTCCAGTGCTGGGGAGCAGAGCTCGGTGGGGTGTGCTACTGCAGCTGACCAGATATTCACATCGCCATTTCCACTAACTGCGGAAAAAGTCCAAACTTTGGCCTTTAAATGGTTCAATCATTAACACACCTTCCCAGGTCAGTGACAGAACTCTCCTGTTGGAGCTGTGTAAACGATGTATTAACAGAGTGTTTTGTAATTTTGTTTTCCTTTGAAGACTATTCTACGTGAGGGGCAACAAGGGAAAAAGGGAAGAAAAGGAAAAAAAAAACCCTACACATCTCTCCAAAAGACCGCAACTCTGATGGCAAAGTAGGAGAAAGGTCAGGCAGAAAGCGCTCGGGACCCTTGCAGTTGCAGGAACCGAAAAGAAACCTGCCTCTCAAGCTGGGCCGTGGGCACAGGCACGCAGCAAACGCCCGCGGCTGCAGGAATCCCAAGCCCAAGCCTGGCCGCAGGGAGAATCAAGCGGGTGGCGGGCAAGGGGTGCGGGCGTAGCGGCAACGGGCACCCCGCGGCGTGGAGCCCAAACGCAGATCCTACTAGAAACCAGGGCTGAGAGCTCAGGACAGGCAGGAAAAACTCCCCGAGTTGATTTATGGATGAGGAACTTGCAGCCCCTAGAGGGAAGATTTAGGCCAGGAGTTCGTTATTCCCTGGTTTTCTGGGAGGACTGTGTGCAGGCAGGAGCGCAGCCAAAAATCAAGCTCGATTCCATTTGGACGAGCTCCGGGGAGGTGCAAGGTCTGAACAACCGAGGGGTCTTTTTAAAACCACTTACCGCTTCTACAGTGGGGACTCAAAGTCTGCGACGGCTCCCACTGTTTCCACAGAAAAGGGGGCGGGGACGACCGTCTTCAACATTTGTTGGCCCCGCCTCTCCCCGCCACTAGGAGACATCACGAGAGTCTCCCAAGTTCGGAACGACGAGGAAGTTTGGACCTTCTCGGCGCCACTCCTTTCAATATGGCTGCCCCCAGGGAAAGGCGAGGGCTAATGGGAAAGAACAGATCCTAAATCCCTCATCGCATGGATCGTAGCGCGGAGTTCAGGAGATGGAAAGCGCAGTGCCTGAGCAAAGCGGACCTCAGCCGGAAGGGCAGTGTGGACGAGGATGTGGTTGAGCTTGTGCAGCTCCTGAATGAACGAGAACAGTTTTTCACCACGAGTTCCTGCGCTGGCCGCATCATCCTCCTAGATGGGGTGAGCCTCCTTTGTGCCCTTCCAGCGCCTGCCTTGTAGTGTGCAAATTAGGAGCCCTGTGCCCACTCAGTGCGACACCCCAAACCAGCCTCTTTGTGTTTGTCCTTCTGGTGGGTGGTCTCGGTTTCTTTTATCTATGAAACGGAGAGGGTGAATTAGACTAGTGCCTCTGAAACTTTAATGTGCCTACTAGTCACCTGGAGATCTTTTAAAATACACATTCTGATTCTGTAGGTCTAGCGTGGGTCATGGTATTCTGTATTTCTAACAAGCCCCGAAGAGGTGCTGAAACTGCTGGCCTGGGAATGGTCTTGAGTTGCAAGGGCTCAAGAATTTGATTTTCTGAATACTAAGGGAATTTTAAAGACTTTCCAGCCTGGAGAAATTGGTGGCTTCTCTTCAGCCGCTCTACCAAACTACTGTACCTACCTGACTGAACGTCACCAGCGTTAAGGTGTTCACTGCCTCCTAGCGGCCCACTCCATTATTACAGCTCTGGTAATTTTTATGTTACACTAAGTACAATACTGTAGTATATACAGTGTGAAGTAGCGGTCAAGCCCTTAGGTTTCGCAGTGATACAGCTTATAGTTATGGGAATTATTGGCTATGTGACTTTAGGAAAGTTATCCAAACTCATCCCCTCCCTGTTCACGAACTGAGGATAATAAAGTATCTGCTTCAAAGGAGTTCTGTGTACAGGAAACGGGATGATTTATTTGAAACATTTAGTGTGGTGCCTGGCCCATATGAAGAGCACTGTAAAAGTTAGCTGCGTGTTAATTTTGGTATTAGTATTGAATTCAGGGCATGAAAGACAGCAAACTCATAAACTCATTCTTTAGGTCCTTCCCTGATCATTTGCTGGCCTCCGGGGCTAGCAGGGCCTGTTTTTTGATATTGCTTCCATTGCCTCCTGAGCGCTGACACTCTGGCTGGGCTTGTTCTCTCTCTTCCACCCTTTTTACTGCCCTATCCTACCTGGACTTTTGCAGTGGTTTCCTAATAGGTCACTAAACTACCAGTCTCTCTACCCCAAACTATGTTACACAGTTAACCAATTCACCTTTCTAAAGCACAACGCTGTGTGCATGTCACTCATTTATGCTGAAATCTTTTATTATACATTTTTCAACATCACTACATCCAAACCCCAACTCCAGCATACCTTTCAACTCTATCTTCTGCTGCTTCTGTTCATCTTTATCTATTTACTGAAACGGAACTGTTCTCTTTTTCATCTTATATGTATCTTCCTTTGCCTTTGCCCATGTTTGTTTTTCCAAAATGTTTTCCCCCATCTCTGCATACCTAAGACATGACTCCCAAACTCCCTTCTCCCACCAGAACACAAACACATACTTGGAAGTAATGACTACTTCTTCTCAACTACCTTAGGACTTTTTCTGAACCTCTCTTCATTATATGTATTATTTTATACCTTGTATTTATATTTTCACTTTGCCTTATTTCGGGAAGGATTTGGATCAACTTACAAAAGGGCAATACAAGAAGAAAAATTAAAAGTGGGAAAATCTGGATAAAGGGAGTATAAATAAGATGAAGCCAGTGATGGCATTAGTTCCCAAAATATGACCCTTGATTCTGTAATTTTGCTAGAGGTGGGCCATACATTTGGCTGTGCGATTTAGAACAGCCATAATAAAATCAGATACATAAGTCAGTGAGGTCACTGAATAAAAACAAACCAGTTATTTAGGATAAGCATAGTGCTTCCCATTTCCAAGGCCAGACTGCAAAGTGTACCCATTGTATAAATAGTTACTATGTAGAAGTATAGTGATTTAAAAGTACTTGTGGCTTCCTGAATCCTCTTCCCAGTGTTCTTGAGGGTAGGATCTCTTTATACCCAAAGTACCTAACAGAACTTTGCAAACAAACATTTTTCCAGTTAATAAAAAAAAGAAATCTGATGTTAAAATATTTGCATTCTTGAAGCTTTGACCTTTTTTTTAGTCTTACCTCTGCCCCTTGGGTCTACATATAAAGTCTAATGAAGAGGTTACAAATGTATGCCTAGAGAGACTAGGGACATATAAGGGTGTGAATAGCTCAGGTGTGAGTAAAAAATGGTAGGTCCTCTGTGGGATTGTGACAGCAGTGCTTTCTTACAAAAGTAATTCATAGTCTTTTTTTGTTTTTGTCATTAAATATTGTGCTAGCCAAATAAAATAGCTACAGTACAACTCAAGGCTTGCTAGTGTACAACCCCTTGTAATCCTTCTCTCCTGACAAAATCGTGACCGTATTTTAGAAAATATTAAGTTCTTTTACCTTAGTAAAACAAAAGTGTTGTTCTATTTCAAGTAATTTGGTTTCATTTTTGTTTTGGTTTAACTTTACCCCAAACCCTACTGACTTGTTCTCAGTAACACTTAAAATCACCACTTGGGATTATTATTTAAGAAAGCCTACAATGTGTTTGTTATACATTGTACTTATTATTTTTGTAATATATGATTAAATTACATTGTTTTGTTTTGTTTTATTTTAGAGTATCAATGGTTTCGAGGTTCAGAAAAAAGACTGTTGCTGGCTACTGGTTACACACAGACCTTGTATAAAAGATGATATGGTAAGTTTTTATATATAAATTTAGAAATAAACTTTGATTCATAATCACTTTAAGTACATGTGGAAAGAATAGAAAATTCAATGTGATTTATGTGCATAATTATAAAGACTGAAGATTATAAAGCCTAAAGAGAATTTATTAAAGTGGCTTTTTTGAGTTGTAGGAGATAAAAGTATGAATATGCGTATGTATGCAAGCATTACTGTCAGCAGCTCAACAGAACACATTGTCTTGGACCTAGTATAGAAGTCATGGACGTTGGATACGTATTGTCCAAACTTTGAATTTCAATTCTGCCATTTGATAACTGTAACCTGGAACAAATTATAGACGGAGAAGGGAGCTAGGAGAAAGGGATTAGAAACTAAATACAAGGTATAAGTTATACATCACTTACTTGGATGGCTTCTTGAAAATAAGTTTGTATGAGTCAGGCACTTTGTATTACTGGTTCAGGTGCTCAGATGTTGTCTTCAGAGTACTCCTTCAATCTCCATCCACTTCTTTGGATACTGCTGCTCTCTGCATGTCTGCCTTTATTCTCTTCTGCTATAGATGATCTGTGTGGTGGGAAAGATAGCTGCCAGTAACCCCAGCAGAAAAAGACTTCTAAGATCCATCTGTCATCCTCAGAGTACTTCACTCTGAGGTATCCTCCTTGGGTTAGCTGTTCTCCCCCTGAGATCAGTTATTTTTGTCAGTAGAATGACATGCTACCCTTTTTAGCCTGAAGCACTTGGCATCTCTGATATTATGATAGCAGGAGTGATGAGTGACAAGGTCATGATTGACAGTCCCTCCAGAATCAAATGGTATGAAGGAGGGAGGATGCTACCGAGGGATACTAGGTAGACAGAAATGACAACTGCCTTCTGTAAATTCTAGCTCAGACATAATAGTCACATGTGTTTCAAACCTTAGTCTAGACTAACAACAAAGTATTTAAACAAACCTAGTAGTCATTATATACCATATTTCTTAATGAAAAATCTGTTATGGAATTAAATACAGTAGTAGTTTACTTTTTTAAGATATGGTTGGAAAGAATGACACTGAAGGTATATAGGAGAATTAAAAAAAAAAAAAAAGGGCAGATTAACACTGAAGTTATGTATGATAAAGGGTCTCCAAAGGACAGGATCATATATATTTTTGTCTGATACTGACATTTTTCATTGATTTAGGTTGCAGCTCTGAAGAAAGCAAACGGTGATGCCATTTTGAAATTTGAACCACTTGTTCTTCATGTGCAGTGTCGACAGTTGCAGGATGCACAGATTCTGGTAAAAACTTTGTAATTATACTTGGAGTTATAGGCATGTGGGTAGATTTAATTTAAAGTCTTAAAACTCCTACCAAAAATTATGTTTACTTGCAGGTTTGGGGTTATATGTATTGCATTTTGTACAGCGAAAAGCAGTTTACTGATTAGTCAGATTATCAGAATTTAACAAATTAATTTTTTTACAGCATTCAGTGGCAATAGATTCTGGCTTCAGGAACTCAGGCATCACAGTGGGGAAGAGAGGAAAGATTATGTTGGTAAGATTCCTTTTGGCAAGAAGCAATTCTTTGAGCCTGAAGCGATCCAGTTTATTGAAGAACCTTCTAACTAGACTCCTGCCTTTAGTCTCTCCTTACTCAAGTCTTCTTGTCATTCCCTTGTTCAAAAAACTTCAGTGACATTCTTTCCGACAGGGCAAAGTCCAGACTTGTTAGATGTACATTTGAGGCCTGAGTTTCTTGTACTGTACTCCGCTTACCTTTAACCTCATTCTCTGTGCCTTCCTCATCCCAAATAGTTCCAACTGGATAAGCACCATGATGTCGTGGAAAGCATCACAGGAGGTGTCTGAAGTCCTCTACACCACAGCCATGCTTGGTGAACTTGGGCAAGCTCCTTAATCCCTCAGGGTCTGCATTTTCTCAGCCAGATTGAGGGTCCAGCAGCCTACCGCCCTCTGGTCAAGCCCAGCCCACCGGGGGTCCAGATCCCGTTTCACCCATTTGATGAATTGCTGTCTAAGGTTGCTCTTGTGCGTCAGTGGTGAAATTGAGTAGTGGTGACACATACTGTATGGTCCACAAAGGTGAAAATAATTACCATCCTTTCACAGAAAAAGTTTGCCGACCCCTGGACTGAATGATCTTTAAGGCCCCTTCTAAGGGTCACATCCTCTCTGAGTCCTTTCCTGGCCAAGCCAACCCTTAGTGATATTGCCCTATTCTGATCTGCTGTAGTATTTACTGTTTGTATTTACCATTTGGAATGGCATTTATTGTTTGCTTTTGAACTAATTTCAGCTTGTCCTCCATTCTAGTTCCCTAGACCTTCCTATTTTATACCAATTTTTAACAACTAGCCTATTTCCCAAATAGAGGTGTCTTTCAAACGAAGACTCCTGTAAAGCACGACTAAGTAGAACATCAAAGCCCACGGTACTGGTGCGAGTCCCCCTCTCATTCCCCACTGCATCTGGTGGCCCAAGCAAGAACAGAGCCATTCTTTTACCTTCCTCTCCTTTGTCTTCCACATTCAATCAGTTACAAGTCCTGCCACTTCTGCCTCTAATTTCTCACACCTGGCACAATTGCCCCAAGTCCTCTGTCACTGCCCTGACTTACGCCCTCAGCACCCCTCACCTCAGTCATTACAGTGGTCTCCTGACTGGGCTCCCTGCTTTCCACCTTCTCCTTCAGTCCCTCTGACCAATACTGTCAAATCTCCCTTTTGAAAAAGTCAGGGCCTCCAAATATTTTTCCTGATATTGAAGGCCTTACCCAAACTATTTTCCATCTACCTTACTTATGCTCACCTCCCGCTGGTATACTAACACTCTAGCCAGATAGAAAACTATAGGTTGTTCCCCAAACGTGTCACAGGCTTTCATATCTCCATGACTACAGCTAAGTTGTTCCTCTGGCAGGAATGCCCCTCTGTCCCCATTTTTAGTTCTGGTGAAATTGCACTTATCCTTTAAAATCCCAACTCAAATGCCTCCTTTCCCATAAAGCTGAGGCCTCAGTCTCAATTAGCTGCACCTCTTCTACATTTTCTTAATGTTCTGAGTGTGTGTGTGCACGTATGTGTATGCACATACATGCTTGTGCTTCTCTTGTCATAGGTCCTATGTTGTATTATAATTCTTTGTCCACCTGTTCATTTCCTGTTCTAAAGTGTAAGCTCTTACAGGGCAGGGACCACGTTATATCCATCCTGTATGTTCACGCCTTACATTGGGCCTAGAACATGGCAGATGCTCAGTAAAGTTTCATGAATGAATTTTTTTTTCTTGTGATAGTTTTTGTTGCTGTTCTTATTCTGTATCCAGTGTTTGCACTTACTTGCAGCACATTGACGTTTCATCAACAGGGTTACTAAGACTGGCCCTCAAGCGTTGAGAAGCGGCCACTTTGTGAGCTAGAGCAGGCACGGTTTATATTTACAATCACGCTCTCTGCTCAAGCAGCGCCAAGAGGCTCTTTCGCTTCCAGTCCATTTTGATTTTCTCTTGAAGTTTCTGTGGAGATTTCATTTATTTCTTTTCTTGCTTTTTCAGCTTTAGTGAGATTGAAACTATTAAAGCTATTGGATTCTTTGATATTATCTGCTTCTCTGAAAGACAATGTATAGAATGACTTTAAGAAATGACTTTATATGATGGGAAAATCTATTTAATCTCCTTTGATTCAACTATGTTTAGCTAAATTATATTAAAGCATAAACCTAAGTGCTGTAATGATACTGAATGAACTATGTTTAAAGACAACCCTAACTAGGACTTTGCTTTAGTTATTATCAATATCTCTAGTACATAATTCATCATGTATAAATTGTTTGTTCCTTGTAGGCTGTCCGGAGCACGCATGGCTTAGAAGTTCCATTAAGCCAGGAGGGAAAACTGATGGTAACCGAGGAATATATTGACTTCCTGTTAAAGATAGCAAATCAAAAAATGGAGGAAAACAAGAAGAGGATTGAAAGGTATATTAATTAGATATTTCCATGTTATTCTTATATGCCTAATTCATCTCTAAAAATATTAATATATACCATCTTCAGTTTATACTCCCAACTGCTTTTCTATTTGTAACCTTACCATGAATGATAAAAAGATGATCAAACTCATAGATGAGAGTAGTCCAGATTGTCATGGCTACTAAATTGAGCATAAGCTCCACCGAGAAGAACGGGACAAATGACTGCCAGCAACAGGCATAAAGGAGAGAAACATACGCACACAGGTAAGAGAGCCCAACAGCCACCAGGACCATAACTGATCAAGTTGAAGGTAGCCACGGCAGAGGTACACACTGCCCGCTGGGTGCGATCTACTGGAGACTACCTCAAATCTCCTTTCGAGGAGAACAGACTGGTTAATTTTAGCCTGATAAATATTTTACACCTTTAGTGAGCTCAATACCCAGCTCTTAGCATGGGTTAGATCTAGAATTGCCATAATGGTCCCAGTAGGAAGTATTATGGCTATCAGTTTACATCTTTACGCTTCTCTTATTCTTAAACTTTACCTCCTGGTTGATAAAACTCTTACATTGCATTCTTTTTTCAACTTTTTTCTAAGATAGTTTTTGATATTAAAAAAAGTGACTATTACGTTGCCTTTCTTATATGTCAATAATGCCATTGACCTACCACCAATAGATGTACATTTCTGAGTTATTGTGGGGATGGCGAACCTGATACCATTTATAATGTCCTGTTTCCCTTCTTCCCACCCCCTTGGCCACCTCACAACCGGTTAATCACTGCCTAAGTTAACTCTTAAATTTTTCTTTCCCCATCCTTACTGCCACTTTCTTCATTCAAGACCATTGCAATACTAGCTTGTCTCATAGTAGAATTCTTCTAGCGTGTCTCTCTGCTAAGCCATTCTCCATATCACCATCAGAATCCTATCCATAAAATACACAGGAATCCTGTTGTTTAACTCACCTGCTTAAAATTCTTTAATAGCCAGAATGTGTTTTGAAGCAGTTAAGGCAGGAAGTGCCAATAGTCTCAGTGTCGCATAGTGAGAAAAGGTATAACTAGGCTCCTAAGGCAGACTGAGTTCAAATCCAGGTTCTCCCACAACTTAACTCTCTCGGCTTCATTTTTCTTATATCTAACTTGGGGGACACAGTTGTCTTAACAATTTTAGTATCCATTCGATAGCATAATGATTGGCCTTGTTGCTGCCATGTTGTGAGTTCTCAGGATAAGACAGCCCTCTCCTTCAGTGACACATAGAGAATAAACCAGTAACCACGTAGTACTACCATCCAGGCTTTCTCAACGAGGGCTCCTCATTTGAGCTACAGAATTCACAAAATTATTCGAGTGACTATTTTTCAATTCTCCCAACAACGGTATATAACTTTTACCATTCTAGATACACTGGAGAGAAGTTAATTCATTATATACAATGGATGTCTTAGAATATTAGGGTTTAATTTTCTAGCAGAATCCTGGTTGAAAAAAGCTGAGAGGTTACCTGGCCATAAAATGCTTTCAGCAAACATTCTAAATTGATGATTTCAAGTAAGCAACTGAAGAGCACCCAGCCACTCCAGCAGGCTACAGAGTTTGAACTATAGGTAGGTACTTATTGGTACCATTCCAAAAGTTTACTACATTTGTTAGGTAGTATTCCAGTGAGGCTGTTTGATAAAACATAGGAGGTAGCAAATCAGTTTTTCTGTTTCCTTAAGTGAATTTCAACAAGATTATAAATATAGCCCAAGATCAACTAACTATACACCTGGTGAAGTTAATTGAGCCACGTTCACCAACTATAAAATCAAATTATGCTTTAAATCCATTGACTCAAAAATATGTTTGCGATTATAGTGCACATGCTGCTATCAAGAGAGTCATGCTCATCATATAAAATCAGTGAAAAATTAAAGAAGGGTAAAAAGTGTCTTAAGATACTGATTAGAAGATTACATGTGAATTCAGAGAGGGTGAACAAATTAGGGAGCTCCTTTGGGAATAGCTGTACATCCAAACAAATGCAGAGAAAGAGTGACTCTTCTGATGTCGAAAAGAGAAAAAATAATAAATACTAGAGGTGATGAGTTCTGCAATCAGACATTGAGCATTAAAATTGGTTTGTCTTAGGACCAAAGTTTCACAATTAAAATAGCTATAATAGAATTTTTAAAAGTCAAAATACAAATAAGTAATATTTCAGCACTAAGAAATTTTCTGCAAATGTAAAAAATCAAAAATAAAGGGTAAAATATTTTCAAATAGAAAAATGGTCTTGTTTGTTTAATATAATTTCCAAGCCCACTTCTTAGTGGGAAGAGTAAGATAATTGCCTACATAATGATTTCCATGTGAAAAATGTCAAGTTTTGGAGCCCTACTTACCAATTATGAGAGGAATGCCGTCTTCGTATCTATTAATGAGAGATCTGGACCGACAGGTCAGATGAGACTACCACTTGGCCGTAAGTAGAAAAAGAGTAGCCATGTTCTTCTTTTCACCAACTCTGTGATAAGAATATAAGTGTTTTAAATAAAGTATAGAATAAAAGGCTGAATATATTGGCATATAATATTGTTGATAAAAATAAAGCAAAGTGGAAGAAAAAGTAAATGAATCTGTTTCCCATGGTTGGGTGTATTTGTTTTGTTTTGTTTACTTTTTTGTGGTTAGGTATACATAAAATTTACCATGTTAACCATTTTTAAGTGTACAGTTCCATGGTGTTAAGCACATGAACATTTTTATGTAATCACCACTATCCATATCAAGAACACTTTAGTCATCCCAAGTTGAAACTCGGTACGCATGAAACAATAATTCCCCAAACTCCTAGGCCCTAGTAATCACTATTTTTTTTCTATCAAATTGACTATTCTAGGCACCCCATAAAAGTAGAATCATACAGTATTTGTCCTTTTGTATCTGGCTTATTTCACTTAGTGTCATGTCTTCATGGTTCATCCATGTTGTCGCATGTGTGAGAATTTCATTTCTTTTTAAGGCTGACTAATATTCCATTGTATTTATATATACCACATTTTGTTTATCCAGTCATCCACTATGGACAGTTGGATTTTTTTCCCGCCTTTTAGCTATTGTGTATAATTTGCTATGAACATGGGTATACAAATACGTTTGAGTCTCTACTCTCTTCTTTTGGTGTATACCCACAAGTGGAATTGTTGAATCATATAATTCTACGTTTAATGTTTTTTAGAACCGCCTTACTGTTTTCCACAGGAGCAGTACCATTGTACATTCCCACCAGCAATGCACAAGAGTTTCCTTTTCTCAACTTTCTTGCCACCACTTGTCTTTTGTTTTTGTGTGTGTGTGTTTTTGATAATAGCCATCCTGACATGTGTGGGGTGGTATCTCATTTTGGTTTTGATTTGCATTTCCCAGATGATTAATAATGACACTGAGCACTTTTTCATATATCTTTTGATAAGAGTTTCTATTAATCACTGCTGCTTTCCTTCCTGCTTATAGTGCTCCTTCTTAACTTCCTTCTGGGCTTCTCTTATTATTCTATCTGTTGGTTAAATATTGTCGTTGTTCAGGATTTTATTCCTGGCCCATAGCGTTAGCGACTTCCCCATATACTGATAGGCCTTCCAAATCTCTCCCAAGTTGTAGACCCATATATCCATAACCCATTGAACATATCTAAAAAATCCCCCATCAGTCTTTCCTTAATATCTCTTATCCTAGCCTCAACCCCATGCCATTTCCTTGGTTCCGATTCTTATCATTTACCATTATCATTACAGTTTATGTCTCAGTGCAAAACAGAAATGTGAATCATATTGAATTGCAATTATTTAATTGCATGTATGACCTTTTTTCCCCATTATAACATGGTCCCATTGAAAATAGGACCGACTTCTCCCCCAACCAACCACACATACACACACACACTTAAATATCTCTTATCCTAAATCTTATCCTAAAACCTTACATAGTGTCTGGCTCATAGTAGAAACCCAATTAGCACTTATTGAATTAATTATAAACAGTAATGGAACTTAAAAATTAACACATTATATTGAGTTCCCCAAAGGCAAAGATTGTTTCTTATTCATTATTTTCTGAGTGTCTGGCACAAGAATGGTGGTTAATAAATGCTAAATTTAGTGAACTGACTTTTTCCACTAATGTGCTACTTTTAAGGCTTCATCGCCTTAGGATGATTATCCTGGAAGACATGTAAGATTGTTGAGAGGTGGGGTGAACAGGAGGCCCTTGTTACCTAGTCCAGGTAAGAAGTAACAGGACCCTGAGTAACCAGATGAATGGAAGTGATACTGCAGAATTATCAGCTGACCATGGCAACAGATTAGAAATGGGGAAAGAAGAAAAGCAGGAGTCAAGGATAACAGACATCTTAAATAGTTGCTAGTCTTATTTTTTTTAATGGAACTAAAGCAGGTTAGTAAATAACGCACACATTTCCCTGTAGACTTAAGATCAAAAAAGAAAATAATATAAAGTGGAAATCCATCCTTTGTTTTCATACTTTAGCTCCTCCCTGTTTATCCCCTCCCCTCATTTTTTTTCCTCTCTCAGTTCCTCTCCCATCACCTAGCCAGCGTCCTGTTCATCCCTGTAGTTCAGCCCAGGCATTGGGTTTTTTTCCAAAGAGCTTTTCATGATCTCATGTGGAGCCACGTCCCCTCTCTGTGTCCCTACTTTATCTGTTTCATGGCATGTTGCAGCTCTAGCTCCCATTCCATCCTGAGCTCCTTGAGGGCAGACCTGTTTTCAGCACCTGACATAGGCCATCACATACATGGTTTTTAATGAAAACACTTGTGCTTAATCAGTTAAATTCCAAATGCATCATATATGAGAATAGCCTTCTTTGTTACTTGGGAATAATAGAAGCCTAAGGATATAAAATTGGGCCTAGGTTTTATTAATTTTATGCTTCTGTTTCAGAAGCCAAAGAAGTAGCTTTTTATTGCAAGTGGTCCTAAAACTGACCTGAAAAGCAAGAATTCGTTTTCCCAGCTCTGGCCTAAAAAGTTCTCTCATGAAGAGAACTAAGTACAAGTTGCCCTGTGGCATGATGATCTGACTGCAGAGGTAGAAAAACTAAAGACGATTTGATGTGAGGGGGGAAAGGAACAGCTGCCTGAGCATGTATTTCTTTTTATACTCCAAGCTCTTTTTGTTGCCCGTGAGAGCTGAGAAAATTACACTTTGAGAGCTGGGCTTTAGAATGCTGTGTAAAGGGTCCTAGTATGAGGGGAGAACATGCAATTGGAAAACAAGTTGCTGACTTAATGAGGAAGACAGTTTCCCAAAGGACTCTTAAAAAGTTCCCTTAAAAAAGGATGGGCCGGCCGAGTGGCGGGGTGGTTAAGAGCTGGCTTGGGATGCCCCGGTTCGGATCCCACATATGAGGGCCAGTGACACTGCCCTCCACAGCTAAGATGCTGAACAACAGCTCAACCTGGAGCTGGGCTGCCGTGAGTCGCCGGCAACGGCTAGGCTGCAGCCCGTGCTGCAGTGGGTTGCCATGGGCTACTGTGTGTAGCCAACAGCCAGCGTGAGCGGCTGTCCAGAAGCTGGCGACTGATCTGCCTCGCCCGGGAAGAGCGCAATGATGGTGCCAACTTGGGCCAGTGAAGCAGCGTCCTCCATAACTAGACTGAAGAACAAAACGACAGCAACTTGTCTGTTCCTGTTCCCCTAATTCCCCAGCGCTGTTCCCATCCCCCAATTCCCCAATAAAAATCTTTAAAAAAAGGAAAAGGAAAAATTATTTGAAGATTTTATTTTTGGCTTTCAGCATGAAAGAGTCTTTATTCCATTTTACCAGTTGTTTTCTGATACCCTAAGAATACAGCTTTGAATTCTTCAGTTTTTTTAATGGAAGATTAAAATAAGGCACCAATTCCTCTTTTACCTTTTTTTATGTAGTTGACAAGATATTTTACACAAACTGTTAATTCTCTGTGATCATAAAAGAGCAATTTAATCTTATCTTTAATTTTCTAGGAGTAGAGTATAATCCAGGAGAAAAAAAAAAAGACTTGGTTACCTGAGTCTGAAGTGCAGGGTGGGATGGAAAATGAAGTTGCACGTCATGGATAGGCTCTTATGATCAGATAAGGGCAATTCACACCATTTTGTGGCATGCTTGGATTTATGTTTTAGAAATTTGAAAATATATTAAGGCCAATCTAGATGACAATGTTATACTACCATTAAAAAGTGTTATTTTGTAGTTCATTTGATATAGGAAACGTTTTGAATAAATATTAAATTTGAGAAAACAACATAAAACTTTATATGTAATATCACAATTGTGTAAAAGACAGTAGGTATATGTGTACATGTATAAATACATTAATTCAGAATACATTAATAAACCGGTAAGAATAAAAATATTGAAAGCGGCTATTTCTATGTAGTTATATAGAGGAAATCTGTATTTGTAACTTCATATATTTTACAAGTTCTATAAGCTCCTATTACATTATGATTTTTATAAAGAAATAATTTCTTTTTTTACTTTATTTGACCCCTCTTGTGGAATAGAAATTAAGGCAGAATAGAGATTGTCAAGAGGTGATACCAACTCAATTTTCAGGACTGTTCTTACAGAACTGAAAACACATTCCCAAATTAAACAATAATAAAGCCAGAAGCATATTATTTCTTTGGTTCATTTCATAGTTTAAGGTTAATATGAGACATCAAATTTATATAATTTATAAGTTCAAGGTGTATTTCAGTCATTCCGTTTCATAACACAGATTTAACTGCAGTACTTTTTTTTTTTTTTTACAGGTTTTACAACTGCCTACAACATGCTTTGGAAAGAGCAACTGTTACTGACTCACATTCCAAAGAGAAAATCAATGAGAAAAATAACCCATATTCTCATAAGAAAAAAAGAAACCGAGCAAAAGCACGTGGCAAATGTGTTACTGAAGAAAATGATAAAGAACTTGAAAATGATGATGACCTAGGAATCAGTGTTACCATCTTCCCTGAAGATTACTAAGATTTGGTTCTGAAGCGTCGTGGTAGAATAATGTTTCTAATAATTATAAAGCTGCTCTTTATAAGAGTGTTTTAGATTATTGAGTGTATCAGACATTCAGAAAAGCAAGATTTAATTTTTCTGTTTTAGAGAAACCCATCTTATAAACAGGTGCCTTTTAAAAATAGCCGTGTATAATGTTTGCTCATTAAATACCATATTTTAGTCACAGATTCATTATAAAAATCGAATTATGATTTTTAATGCCTCCCGGGTTTTTTTTATTTTAATTTGTACTTCTGCAAAACAGGGGAACTAGAATACCCTTCCAACAGAACCTTATCATTAGGAATATTTGAATAAATATCATAGTGACATTTCACTTATTTAATGTCCGGCTTTAAAAGCAGGTCAGAGTTTGCTTCTCGTTGCCATGGAATCCAATGGCAAGTTTTTTCCTCTCTTTTGACCTTGTAGATAAAACAACTAATGTGCTTTCATTCAGGACAAAACTTCTGAACTGTCTTTCCCTTTTATTTCTCACAAACCAGAGCTTGCCATTGGCATAGTCTCTGTCAAACAACGGGCATAGCTTTTCACTAAGCCTGATCAGAAGTGATAAGACTCAGGAATCGTAATGGAACAAATGTGCTTGGAAAATTGCAAGGAATTGGAAGATCTGGGTTTGAGTTCTGACCACTACACAGAAGTCGGAGGTCCTTGAGCAAATCACTTAATTTCCAAGGTCTTCCGTTTCCTCTTCTGCCTAACAGTTCTTCTAAAACCTGCTGTATTTACACCGTAGGACTGTTGACAGGATGAAGGTAAATCAAAACATGAAAACAGTATAAAATAGACCATTTTGCATATATGTTAGTATTTACCATTTTCCTTTTAAAATGATGTTTTCATGCTGTATTTTCAGAATATATCAAATCAGAAATTAGATTTTTAAAGGGAAATTACTAGTCAAGAACTAATAAATTATAAGAAAATACCAGAATGTCAAATAAGAAACATTACATAAAGTAGTATAAACACTGAGTTGTGATTTTGGCATTTCCTAACATTTTTATAACTTGCTTAAGTCTATATAAATTAGATTTGCACCTTCGTGCTTGCCTTCTGACATCATTGTATACTCCCACTTTTAAAATAGACTGACTTCATAGATATCTATTGTCCTGTAAATAAAATCATAAGAGATACTGTTCAGACAGCTCTAAAGTTATTGTGAGGTTTTTGTTTATTCCTTTTTTCTATCATCGCTTTGAACTGCTCTCTTTTTTGCCTTTAAAACAAGATACTAATATTTACTTTTCTAATTCTAGTATTTCCAGAACATTCAGGAAATCTTTTAACAAAGTCCTCCATTTCATTGTCCAGAAAGAACCGCCTCTGAGTCCCGATCCCGTCTTCCTGCAGCTTTGGTGCTGCTGGCCACTCAACATCCATGAATCTGCCTTCGTGGATGTCCTAAATGCTTTCTTCTAAATCATCGGCGTTTATGGCGAGTCCTCAATTTTTTTTTTTTTTAGCTGAGCCATCCCGCCACCTGTTGGCAGCTCAGCAGCAGCTCAGCTCGGGCTGGACTCGAACTGCTGTTGCTCAGAGCTCAAACCCTTGAGCGAGCTCTTAACTAACTGAGCCACTCGGCCAGCCCTCGAGTCCTCAATTTTTTACCTCCCCAACCCTTTAACAATTTGCAACATTTAGTGCACTTTAGAATCATTGTTAGAATTAAAAAAAAAAAAAAGAAAAAACAGAGAAGACCTGAGATTCTCCAGGGGCAGTTGGCCTGTGTATTTTTTTAAAAGCTCCCAAGTTCTTTAATTGTTAAACTAAAGACTCCTAACGCTACACACATCCCAGCGTTCTGTCTCTGGCCCTCATCTTGCATCGCTCTCTTCAGCCCAGCCGGCTCATCCATTCCAGTAGCCTCAGCTTCTGAGCCCGGGACTCCCACCTCCCCTGCCCTGCCCTGTCTTCTGTGCTCCAGCTGGTCCTCTACAGAAGAGTTGTTACTTTCTAAAAGGTTTCTCCTTAGACTGTACCTTTTCTGTTTTTTTTGGCTAGAGAGAGCAGGCTTTCGTTGTGACTGTTTTTGTCTGAGTCCATTTGCATCACTAGGTGGCTGGCTCTTTCAGTGCCCAGTCTGAGACATGAAAGGCAAAAGGGATACCCAGGGAACTCACCGCTGTGTTGCTCTTTAGGTCCTGAGACCGCCTCCCCGCCCCAAGTTGGTCCTCCTGCCACTCACCACCTTTCAGAGTCATCCTATATTTTATGTATAATGTTCAGAGTTTTTAGTTGCGCTTAGTGGAAGGAACAGGGAAAAGTATATATGCTGCATCTTCCCAGAATCAGAAATCTATGTATTTTTTAAATTATTGATAAAGTATTGTTGGGGTATTGCTGAGGACACTTGGAACGCATGCAAATAGCCGCAGATCTCTTGATGTAGTGCTGCGCCCCACCTTCCAGTTTGCATGTTCTGCTGCTCTTGTTTTAGGTCGCTCGAGCCTCTCCACCCCAAAATAGAGAAGAAAAGGCCTAGAAGTCTGTTTCTTGTCCCCCTCCCCTGCCACATACATAGCCACTGTTTCAGCCAATAATGACAAGCGCAGAGCTTCAAAACACAATTCTGTTGCCCAGAAATGGGGTAAACTTGGATATGCACTTACCATCTGAGCTCCCAGCAGGATCAGGCGGAGGCTGGGACTTCACCTTGATCCTGCCATGTTTTTTCTCCCCCCTTATCCGTTTCTCCTGGGATGACACTTGCACTAGGATGGTGTCTTCTGGAATAACCTGACTTAAGACATGTACTGAGATTACTTTGGATATATTTTTAAAAGCTATGTATGACACATATATTTGAAAGAGTTGATATTTTAATATGCTAGAAATTATGTTATTGGTAGTGATTTTAAATTTACCATGGAAACACGATGCAAATAAATTTATGATGTTAAGTACAAAGTTGTAACAATTCTCTTGGAGCCATATCTAATGAACAATTTTTAAGGATTACTCCTATAATACTTACTGTTATAAGAACCTAGAAATGAGAATAATTGATTCTAGGTAAGGGAGTACTAGAAGTGCAATTCAAGATGATACCATTTCATCTCAGTCTTAACAGACAAGATGCAGTTCACTTGACAGAGAAATTAAAAAATAGCTCTTGCAGACAAAAGGAACGTGTGATGTAAGTAAGGCACCAAAGAGCATGATACACTCAGTGATGTGAATATTCCAGAAAAGCTGGAATACGACACGGGGTCTGAAATGGGTCAAGCTGGTGGAAGCCCCATTGCGAAGGGCCTTGTGGTCCAGTGTGGAAGTAGCCCCGTGTTCCCTAAACATGGCTACGCCTCAGAGCTACCCAGGCTGGGATGGAGCATGGGGGTCTGTGTTCTAAAACACGGATGCTGCATCGCTCAAGCTAGTGTCTTCAATCTCGAGTCTAGGAATCTTGATTTTTTTAAGCAATTCGTCCAAGTGATTTTGATAAAATCGTCCCAGCACTTTTAGAATCCACTGGTAACAGACTTAATCCTGAAGGCACAGGAGGGAAATTAAAGATTTTTTTAAATGGAAAAAAAAGAGTAACATCAGCACACGCTGCAATGTCTGTAGGTCATAGATTTCGTGTATACACTTTGTAGGAGGGGATGCCGGAGCTCCCAGTATATGAACCAATCACGTCACTGTCCTTACCCTTCAGGCTCAGGCAGCTGCCAGGAGGAATGGCAAAATGTACAGCTGTGTGAGCTGAACTCTGTACAACCCAGGAGGGGGTATTCCCCATTGATGACAATATGAATGGGACTCCTTGAAGCTGTGCAGTGCACATTCTTATACACTCACATATGCAGCAGTCCTGCCAGAAGGGAATTTGACCAGGAAAGAAATCTTATAGTCTCAGAATGTCTGGAACATTTCTTCTGATTTAATTATTAGAACATGGAATTACCTGCCAGGCAGGTAGATGGAAACAGAAGAAAAGCAACTGAGAAATAAGCCTGAAATACCGCATTTCCCCATGTATAAGACGCTCCCATGTATAAGACGCACCTTAATTTTGGGGCCCGAAATTGAAAAAAAAATGTATCACATAAAATTATTGAACTCAAGTTTTATTCATCATAAAATTCATACAACTCCTCATCACTGGCAGGAAATGTGAGTAAAAAAAATCTACAACCACTGTATAAGTCACACCCAGTTTTTAGACCCCAAATTTTTTGAAAAGGGTATGTCTTACACATGGAGAAGTACAGTACATAAGAAACGTAGGAAAAGTGCGGGTGGGGGTGGGGAAGGGCATTCAATGGGGAATGACTGCATCCTGCTGTTTAAAAATACCTCTAAAGAGCTCATAATCCACTGACTTTTCTTCACTCATTTAAACTGATCCCTGGGGCACCTATGTATTCTGAAGATTCTATAACCTGCGTATACACATAAGGACCTGGAAGAGAGGGGCTGCCCCCTCTTCTCTTTATCTAGGGTAACCTGGGCCTCTTAGGTTAGAGAGGAGAGGCCAAGTGCTGGCCATGAAACCAAGCATACACTGAATCCCACTCAGTCCTTAGTGTCCCTTAATATTTTATTTACATAATCCACGTGCCTGATCAAGAATATTAATAACTGCAAAAGGGCAATTTAGTAATAATTAAACATACAAAATCACTTATTGAAAAATACCACTGTGGTTTATTTTTATTGTTGTTGATCTATCCAAAAGAAATTTTTTTTCTTTACCCTAGGATGGAGGCAGGCATTTATTCCTAACTGATTCTCCATTTCTCCCAATCACCTATGAGTTAACTATAGTTGACTCTTGAACAATACACAAGAGTTAGGGGTGCTGACCTCCTACAGTAAAAAATCCACATATAACTTCTGACTCCCCCAAAATTTAACTCGTAATAGCCTACTTACTGTTGATGGGGAGCCTTACCAATAACATAAACAGTAGATTAACACTTATTTTGCATGTTACATGTATTATATACTGTATTCTTATAATAAAGTAAGTCAAAGAAAAGAAAATATTATTAAGAAAATTATAAGGAAAATACATTTACAGTATTTATTGAAAAAAAAATCCACATATAAGTGGACCCATGTAGTTCAAACCCATGTTTTTCAAGGGTTAACTGTACTTTTGTGTTCTAAAAGAGAAAAAGTTGCCAGATTTGTTGAGGAACAGGGAGGGAAACTAAGAAACATGCTTTTGTTCTTGTAATTCTGGGCTAAGGTCATACATAAACTATTAGTGACGAAAGTCTGGTCTGGCAGATAACCTTCATTTGACCCACATAGAGGGCATTTTTCCTAGTTGATACAATGTTTTAAACTATGATGGCCTTTTTTTTTAAGGTACATCTCTAGTTTTTGTGGTTTTTTTTTTTTAATTGGACGATGTGGCTACAATGAGCCCACATTCTCACTTGACACTCAGCAGAGCCAAGTGCTGGCTGCCCCTTTGGACAAGGCTTAGTTCCCTGCACAACATAGTCACAGCACCCCCTACTGGCTCCCTGGCTTATAGGCTACAATCATTCCCACTTCAATGCCTGGTCCTATAGGCGCCAGCGTTAGCAACCCCTGCTTAGAACTTTGGGAAGAACTAAACTATATGATGTTAGCTGGTTATACAATAAGTAAGAGATTAGAGCTGGACTGGCTATAAAATTTTCAGAGGCCCGTGTAAAATGAGAATGCGGGGCCCCTTGTTAAAAAATGTTTAAGAATTACAAAATGTCGAAACAGAGCATTAAGTCAAGTGTGGGGCCCTTCTAAGTATAAGGCCTTGTGAAACTGCACAGGTTATATTATACCCATGAACCCCGCCCTGGGCTGAAGCCTGGGTGCTTCAAGAGTTAAAGAGGGGGATGGTGCCAGGATGCTTAAGCCTCCTTCCCCAACTAAGAAAGGGGCAGAGTGCTGCAAATTCTGTGATGTGCTTGGTCTTGGCACCTGATCGCATGCAACATCTTCGAGGTGGCAGGACCTTGGGTAACTGTTTAGGAGCCTGCAATGACTGAGCACTCATCACTGATGTTTTGGAAGCTGAGGCAAAGGTCTCAGTAGCTAAACTTCGAACACGTGAAATGAAGCGCTCTTCAGAACCACCTGTTTTCAAATGAGAGCAAAGGTAGTAATGAATCACCATGTTTTGAAAACAAGGGCTTTCCTCATTTTGACGGGAGTCAAGTT